AAAAAATTCTGAATGACTTGTCCAAAGATTGGAAAAGTAAAATGACTGCTATTGAAAAGACTAAAGATTTGAATACTATACCTATTGAATCACTTATTAATTCTCCTACCTCTTATGAGTTGAAACTTAAGACTAAGGTACAAGAGGAAGAAGATGCAAAGATAAGATGGAGCATTGTTCTAAAAGTATCTCAAGATGAAGATGATTCGGCCTCCTTGGATGGAGAAGATGTGGAAGTTGATGACAGTGATCTTGCTCTCATCACAAGAAGTTTCAAGAGGATCCTTAACAAAAGGAGATTTAGAAGAGGAGGACTAGTTATTTAGATTTTAATCAATTCAACAATGCAAGAAACAAATGAAAGTATGAGACCAACAAAAAGTAAGGTGATAAATGCTAAGAATGCGGCCAACTTGGACACTACATGAGTGAGTGTCAATGAAGAAGAGAAAAGCTGAAAGAAAACCAAGATTCAACAACTTCCAATTCACATTGAATGAGTGCAACTCCGATGGTGAAATTGAAGAGGAAGAAGAATCTGCTTAATTGGTCTTCATAGCCATTGGAGATGATGAAGTAACAACTTGTAACTCTCAATCTGATAGTGATGATGAAATTGATGATGATCTTGAATCTTTCATTAAAAAATTGCATGATAGTTTGAAAAAATCTTATGTTAGAAACTAGGAATTGAAACACAAAATTAGTTTTTTTCTTCAGAACAATACACGCCTTTTTCAAGAAAACAAGAAGCTTATAAGAAGCTTTCAAGAAAATGAAACAAAATCTCATTTTGGCACTTATGAGAAGAAGATAAATTATGCTACAAATGATTTTACTGTTTATAAGATAAGACAAGTAAGATTTATTAAACTTGATCATGTATATAACTCGTTGATTATGTGTAATTTTTGTTGTCAAAAAGGTCACATAAAAAGTGATTGTTATGTGAGGAAGAATATAAGAAGAGGCATGAAATGCATGTGGATAGTAAGACATGATACTAACTCTCATGGACCCAAAAATTAAAGGGTACCATATATTAGTTCTTGAACTCTTGAGTAGATGAATCTGGCGAATATCATTAAAGAATCAAAGTGGTTCGTAGACAGTGGATATTCAAGTCACATGATCGGTGATCCATCACAACTTTTCAAGTTCAAACCAAAGTCTCGTGGCATAGTGACATTTGGAGATGACGTGTTTTTACCTCGAGACCATTGGAGCTTTTACATCTTAATTTGTTTGATCCTGCACAAATTGTTAGCTTGGGTGGAAAGAAATATTGATTAGTCATTATTGATGATCATTCTAGATACACTTGGATGATTTTTTCTTGCTCACAAAGGTGATACTTTCAAAGATCTCGTTTCCCTAGTTGTAAAAGTTCAAAATCTGCTTGATTTGAATATTGTTAATATTAGAAGTGTTAATTGTTCGGAATTCAAATATTGTGACTTTTCGAAATTTTGTGATTACACTTTAGGCACTCTAGGGTCATTTGCACTTCATATTTGAATGCATCCTTTGTATTTTCTCTTTTGATGTTTCAAATACTCTGTATTAATGAATCCTGGTTAACATTGATGGTTTCTAGTTAAATTGCATTTTGGTATCATTTCTCTATTTTTGATTGGTACTTTGGATTCTCTGTTACGGCAACTACATTATGGATTATGGTTGCTAGATTTTACTCTCATCCTATGATGACAAAAGGAGGAGAAATGGATGCTATGTGAAAGGGGGAGTTATTCTGTAAATGGATGCAATGAGTGAGAGGGATCTTATGCTCATATGCTTTATCTTTTTCTTTCTTCCATCCATTGTTTTGTCATCATCAAAAAGGGGGAGAATGTTGACTTTGGTCCCTAACTTTTGATATTTATAAAATAATGGATAATACTAATATTTTTTCAAGAAATATTTTCAGCTATGAAGCAAATCAGATTCAAAAATTAAGCACATTTGAAAAGGACAAAGTATGCTGAAACTATCGGACGCTCAAAAAAAACAGGATTGGACGTCCGATACTCATTGCGCAACTTCGGACGCATGAAAAACTCCATCACCGGACGTCCAAAAGAATTAAGACATTCAACCTAGTTCACTGACCTCTTTCGGACGCAAGCATCGGACGTCTGATAGGATCCTTCAAAGTCGACGAAACTATCGGACGCTGAATAAGTCTCCACCGGACGTCCGATAGAAACAAAATAATTTCTCAAATCGCTTTGTTTGCTGTTGGACCCACAAAGAGCTTGCACCGGACGTCTGATAGAAATAAGATGATTCCTCAAACTCTCTGTCTGCTGTCGGACGCAAGTATCGGACGTCCGATAGTATCAGACGCAAGCATCGGACGTCCGATAGTATCAGACGCAAGCATCGGACGTCCGATACTCCCAACGGCTAGTTGACTGTTCAGGTACTTTCTATTCATTGGAAGTATTAATGAAGCACTTTTTTGGTTTCCTATAAATAGAGTATGGTCAGAAACTTCAAACAACTTTTGCACATTGAAAATACAAAAGATCTAGAGTAGTTTTAGTGAGAAAACACTCTCCAAAGAAGATTTGTAGTCTTGGTGATGCGAAGTTCATTGTAAACTTTTCATTTGTGAGTGAATATTTCAATAGTGTAGCTCTGTGAGGGTTGTCCTGAGGGATAGTAAAACTTCCTTATTTGACCGAGTGGAGTTTGGGGTAAGGAGGAAGTGAACCTTCGTTTGTACACAAGATTGGTTGTACTTCATCAAATTGAAGAAACTTGTTCTATAAATTGATCTACAAGCTGAAGAGGAGTTTGGTAGTCAATTGGTTTGCAATTCTTCCCTTCTTATTTACTTATTGTTATATTGTGACCTTTTAATTGCTTATTTATTCTACTCCCAAGCAATCGTGCTTTCTTAATAATTGCTACATTGTGTGGTCACTTAGAAAAGAAGGTAAATTTCATTTTGAGCAAAAAGTGCCCATAACTTGATTAGCTTTTTAATCAACCTAATTCACCCCCTCTTAGATTGTCTTCGATCCTTATATGTTGTACTTGCAATTAGATTGGTACAGTAAGGTCCTCACAAGACTTAGCAAAAATACTGTATTATAATTAGCTCTTCATTTTTTTTTGTTAATCAATATGATTTTGTCATGTTTTTATTGAAGGGCATAGATAAGAAGTAATCTTAAAAATGATTTGAATTTTCAGAAGGAACTCAAAGTTTGGAATAGTCAAATAATGAAAATATGATATTAACAATGAGATAGAGAGAGTATTAAAGTTCTATGAAATTTTTATATCTTTGTTGTAGTTTATATGTAAAGAATTATTTTTCTTCATTCAATTTACTTGTCTATTGCTTTTCTAAACTTTCCACTATGATTGGTAGTTATTTAGGTTATATGAAATCCTAAAAGAGTGTTTCAAATGTTTTGTTGAAATAGAAAATTGATAGTTATATGCTCCTTCCGTCCCATAAAATTTGTCATTTTTGTCACTTTTTTTTTGTCGTAAATTAATTGCCATCTTAGAAAAGTCAACTTACATTTTTTAATGGAATTTTATCTTCCCCACAATTATCAATATATCAATAAAAGATGGCCTGCCACTAATGATAGAAGATAAAAGTAAAAATTTTCTTTCCTACTAATATCACTATACATAAATTGCACGTTCTCCCAAAAATGACAAATTTTATGGGACGGAAGGAGTAGTATTTTGAAATTAGCGCATGGATAATTGTACACTTTAAATCATAACTTTAGTTATATGATTAAATATCACAAATAAGTGTTATGTATTAAGTACATGCATGTACTCCTAAACTAGCATATGATAAAAAGAATAATTTGAAAACTATTTTAGATATTTAAATGTAATTACTTGCTTAGAACTATCACTTGCCACTCATGCAAATTAAACTTTCAACACTTGTAAACTCATATATTAATTTAAGTTTTGATTTAACAAAGAACCAAAGTATAACTTCAATGTTGTCAGATATAATCTAACTGCTACTGTTTGAGAGTTAATTATACACATAAATCAATAGTTATAATTTTATACAATCAATATTATACAATAAACTTCCTAAAATTTTTTGAACCTTTTATTAAAGTTTTTCTATTACTTTTTTCTTAGTTCATTTTTTCAAAAATAGTTTACTGTCAGACATGATTTCTCATATTAAGCTTTCCAACCTAAGAAGTCTTCAACACCAAAAAATATATGATCAATGTAGTGAAAATGGTAAGAAGGCTATGCATAGATAATTAAAAGATTTGATATCACAAAACATGTAGATTGAATTTCCCTTTCCCCTACCCACTTCTTAAATTCCACCACTCTCATGCTAAACTTTTTCTTAAATGTTCATCAATGCTTCATTCATGAAAATTGCCATGAATGGATTAGGGAACTTGAGTTAAGTATTTTTTTAGTTCTTTTCTAAGTCCCTCAAGTGAAGCCTTGATCCAGTTGTACGGATTGATCAACATTGCAAAGGTACCATACTTTATTATTAATATTATTGCTTCCATAATATAGGTAATTGCATGCCAGTTTTTCTATCTTACCAGATGTGCAACAATAAAACCCAAATTTTAAAGTTTAACCAGATTAATCCACAGACATATTCTATTTTAATTTTAGGATAAATAACTCCAAAATTAAACAAATGGTATTCCAATCAACCAATCTTGTGGATAGGCATTTTATCTATAGGACTTGTGTTTAAACAATATATATTCTTAAATACCCATTTAAGAATTCATGTTAAAACAAATATAATTCATGACTGAAGTGATCATTTATCCATTTCTTTCCATTCAACTATTGAAATCTTGGACAAAGATATTTTAATACCATATTTAACAAATATCTGTTTTGTATTTAAACAGATAAATCCTACTCCAGATTACTACTCCAGATTTATTCCAACTGAGCACTTCATTAGAATATATTCATATTCTAATATATGAATATATTAGAATGAAAACCAGTAATACAGACAATGGTTTTCAGGTGGTTGTTATGCCTCTCTATCTGTTTTTAAGGTTTTTGATCGCTTTGTTGGTTTGAAGAAGTTAATTTGCACTTTGTCCTCCCTCTCTTATATGAGTTTCAATTGATTTCAGAATTTGAATGACTCGTATGGTAGTTTATTTATTGTGTGTGTTCGTTGATTTACTCTATTGATTGTTAATGATATTAAGATTGAAGTTTATTTAAACATTTGAGGTGCATATGAATTATATGCTTCATTGGTTATTCAATGAAGAAAGGCTTGTCAGCACAGGCAAATGATTATATTAGATAATAAAAGGGATGCATTAATCATGTTACCTGAGCTAGAAAGTATCTTCTTGACCTTTGCTATTGCATTTTGTCACATTTCTATCAAACTTCCAGATTTGTGTTATTGCTCCATAGTAATTTTTCCTATTCGAGTTGCATATGATGTTTTTATTACTCATGATCTTTGACTTCTTATTCATTTGTATTCCTCTTCTTAGGTGACAGTGGTTGGATATAATCACAAATTAAGGGTCTTGCTCGAAACTGTTGTTGGAAAAATTGCAAATTTCGAAGTAAAACTTGGCAGATTTTCTGTAATTAAGGTCAGAACTAACTTTCTTTCTGTATATACTGTCAACCACTTATTATAGCTTAACTTTCTATCATTGTCTGCTTCTGCCTATTTCTTCTCTTTGTCTTTCAAAAGCTCAAGTCTTTTTAGTTTATTTTCTCAATACTGTTATTAAAAAGAGATTTGGCTATGCTGTATGAAGATTGCTGGCTTTTTGGAGATGATTTAGAATAGTATCATATGCATCATCATTTTGAAAATCATGTTAACTGGTGAAAATGAAATTTTTATGCTTGTTGGATTTGGAACCAAGTGGTTCATAAACATTTGCGACAAAAATATTTTTTTCAAAACAAAAGATACGGTTGATTGTCTATTAAGTGATAATGATGGGAAAGGAATGTGTTATGCATTGAGAAGTATAGTTTGTATTTCCATTATCCTTTTGTTAGTCAAATAACTTTTATCTATGTTGACACACACTAGTCTCAAACTCTCAATTGTTTATCAAGTCTTGTGAACAGCTAATACAATATCAGTTACCTTGATCTTCTAGTCATCTAATCATCCTCTAGTAAATTTTTCCCCGATCAAAATTATTGTAAAGGTAAAGAAAGCTCTTTTATATCTTTTATTCGAGAAATTCACCAAAACAAAAATGTAAAGGAATGACAAATGTCAGTATGATACAGGAATAGAACTATATTTTCCTCACTTTAACATGATAAACCACATGCAATAAGTTTAAGCTGATTAAAAAATATACCAAAACAATTAATGGCACTTGTTATAGGAATTCAAACATATGCATTCTGATAATAGCAGAATATGCAATCCATTCAAAAGAACCTTTATGGCACTGATTTAATGTCAGAGACTTGTTTCTCAAATTATGGTCATTGGCTAATTGATTTGTTGGTTCTAGGTAGTGGTTGCCAACTTTTATAAGCTAGATTATACATTGCAAAATATCAAGTATTGCAGCATTGCTTGTAGATGTGGCCAATTGCATGTAATCTTGTGGAACTACTGGGGAATTGGCTCTCTTCTCTCTTGTTTTAAATGTTCTCCCTAATGGCTGAAATTTGGTAGTTGAGTTGTTTAAAATGTTGAAATAAAGTACTGAATGATGTACATACATCAGAAAGAGTGGGAGAACTGACATGAATAATCAAAAAGTGGTAATAATATAGCTGCAAAATAGCAAATGCTTCTGATGTTTAGTTGGATCTTTCAAACACTTTTATCAGATGTTTTCACCATAACTTCTTTCCTTTACTTTTTGATAGGAGATGGTGACAAAAGATTATCAAAATTTCAAGTTCCAACAACCTTATCAGCAGGCTATGTATTACTACTCATTGATTTTACATGACCAAGCATTGCCATGGACTGAGCAACTTGAAGTTCTTCCACATCTTCAAGTTGACAACCTTCTTAAATTTTATCTGCAGATGCTATCAAGGACCTTCTTGGAATGCTATATTGCAGGTTACTATAGATTGGCTTTTTCTAGATTATTAACTGGCTTTAGCTTATGAACCGAACTTTTGTAACTGTCACATTTTTTCAGGAAATATTGAACCAAAGGAACCAGAATCGATCATACAACACATTGAAGATGTCTTTTACAAGGGTCTCCAGCCTTTATCCCTGGCTTTATTTGCATCTCAGCATTTGTCTACTAGAGTTGTCAAGCTTGTAAGGGGCTTAAATTACTCCTATAATGCAGAAGGTCTTAATCCAAGTGATGAAAATTCTGCTCTTCTGCATTATATTCAGGTACATGTCTTGAAAGCCTTAGGAAATAGTAATGAATACCATAATGCCCTCTGAACCTAATAGAATTCTAGATTTGTATAAACTAACTTATGCATGTCTGACCAAAAATTGTTTGACTATATTTTGATCCTTTCCATCTGTGTAGGACTGAGAAAAAATATTGCTAAAAGTTTTTGAGTTAGTACAACCTTTCTTCTGGATGTATGAAAGAACCAAAGCTATCACGCCCATATGTAAGAAGTCTAATGTCTCTACTTCTAGCACTGAATTTCAAGCGTCAGACAGAATATGTAGATAGTGGGGTTTCAGATAGTAATTATAGGTATTGAGTACATTTGTCTGAATGTGTACCACTAATTTTACATTTAGTTAATCCTTTTTTCAAAGGAAAATGGTTTGATTTAAGTTAACAACATCGTGAAATTTATTGAATTTTCTACTTTAAACAAAATGCGTCTCTGATCATCCTATTTTGTTCTTGTAAATTCTGGATCGACAACTCATATTAAGTTGCCTGCTCACTTGGAGTATAAGTGATCTTTCAGAGTTATTTTTTGCTGCTCATGATCATTCCTCTACTTTTAGAGAGATTGTTTCTATTGTATGCCTGTTTAAGCAGTAAATTTTTTAATCAGTGTTCGTTAGATCCCTGCTTTTGTTCTAGACACAGACGATACATTTACTTATGGGTCAAAAAAGTTTTATTATTTTGGAAAGATTGTGTATGTTCTTTTCTTATTCCTTCTTGTATGCAAGTCTGTCTTTAGGTCAAAGACATGGTTGTGTGAAAATCCATTAATTTGTGGAGCAAAGGAAAGACACCAATTTCCAGTGAAAAGCATACAGGAGATGCCTTTGCAGATTCACAGACAGTGAATTAAGAACGAACCAGGCAATATAATAAGCATATAAAACTTACAGATAATCAGAGAACTCTTTTGATGCGGAAGCTTCTTGAAACCAAATCGAACTTTGAATCTTTATTAACCTTTGTCGAATGAAAGTGCGTACAAAGAAAATTTAAAGACTGAGAAGAAGTTTGCAGAGAGAGTTCTAAGATGGCTAGAAAACTCGATGCCCCTTCCTCTTGTTCTTGAATTCTATTTATACAGACTTCTATCATTGAATTTCATTTGCATTTGCATGCCGACACTTTTATTTGAATTTCATTTGCTTTTCTTGCTAACACCTTATCTTCTTCTGATTGGTCCTCTTGAGATTCTTATCTTATCTTGAAATTGACATCTTGAAGTTGGCCTACAACTTTATCAAAAGTTTGTCGGGTTTTGAGCACATGGACCACCGAAAGAATCAAAAATAGATTTTGATGACGATCCAGTTGACTCATCTTTTTTGTCTTGATTTTGCAAATAATTCAGATATTCTTTGAACATTTCTGGATTTTGCATCATCTTTTTCTTATGAAACTTTGATTCTTTAAGAATTATATGTTTAAGTTTAAAAAATACTCTTTAAGTTTAAAAAAAGAATTATATTCATACTTAAATTTCCTAAATTCTGCATGATTTTGCTATTTATTCCATTCAACTCTTGTATTAATGGATAGTTTAATATCTATATATTAGATCAAATAATCAAATATTCTATAAATGCCAATCACATGATAACACATAAAGAAACTTAAAAACATCCAAAAATTACAAGTTAAATGCACTCAAGAGTAAAATAATTAGCAATTAAAGAAAAGAAACAATCATAAAAAGCCATTAGGGACTAAATTGCAAAAATTAGAAAGTTTTTAGGGTCAAAATACAATTATTTAAAAGATTGGAGGGTAAAAACTAAATAAAGATAAAGTTTAGGAGCTAAAATACAATTAAATTAAGTCTAAATGAAAGAAATTCAAAATTTTTGGGCCAGAATAACATTACTCAAAAGATTAGAGACCAAATTGCAAGATTCTGTTTGTAATTCGAGAAAACTACAAATAAAACAATTTGGACCACACTACTTTGGTCCAAAAGAAAACAACGCAGATTGTCTTGTATAAAACAAACAAGCCTAACTAAAACCCCAAGTAGACTAGAAATAACACGTGCATTTAATTTTATTCCTTAACCCAACACTAAGCTCCGTCAAAAAATATACAACCATTCAATTTACACTAAATACTCATAGTATCAAATAATGGAAAGACATTTATACCCTTATTTCAATAAGTTAAACTTAATCGCTCACCTTAAACGAATTCTACAAATAAGCAAATCACATAGTCAATTTATACTTTCCTTGTCCTACAATCATCTTTTTTTCTCAAATTTCACAACTAAGAGGGATTTATTCATACTAATTTTTAGTCAAATAGTGGAAATGTATTTTGATGTGAAAATCGACACTTTTAGGTGAAGATTTTCGATTACTCAACATTTCACTTATTCAAGTTGCTATGCATACTATTAATTCAAGTATCTTTTTACGCGAATGTCAATATTTATAAATACCAACCACTGGTTATTTGATACAAGAATCATTGGAATAGAATAAAAACTCTTTTTCTTTTTTCTCTTCTTCTCTCTTTCTTCCTTTTTTTTTAAATAAAAGACAATAAATAGACAATCACTTTTAGCAAATACGTAAGAATAATCAAAGGTAGAGTATAACTTTTATTGACTATATCAATCACTTGTAAAATTAAGTAAAGAGGAGGAATCTCATTAAATATGCAAAATTATAGGTATAATTCTCTCCACTTTACAAGATATACTTTCTAAAATTCAAAAATCCTAATTGCATAATAACCATTTTCTAAGTCAAATGAGAACTAAAATTTTCAAAATACATATAAAGTTTCAACAAATGGAAGAAATACAATGCTTAAGGTTGGAACAAATTGGCCTTTTTAAAACAAAATTGTAAAAATTTTTAGGCCATAATGAAATTTTGGAAAAGATTTTGAAACAAAATTTTAACAGAGTTTTCCCCTATAACTGGATGAAACTTCCTGCCAGCAAACCCAATTTCAAGAAATTTTTTCATATGGCAATTTTTTCAAGTACAATTCAAATATTTCTAATGCATTTAAATCAACAAGATATCATCATATGGCATAAAATAGCAAGCTAATTATTCCCCTCTCCCACACTTAATTTTCACATTGTTCTCAATATGAGACAAGGAAATAAATAAAGAGTAAGAGATAATACTCTCTTCATTAACTTATGCTAACTAAATCCATGACCATGTAATGAATTTCCAACCTTATTTGACAAAGAAAGGAGAGTTCAATTAATGCACAACTTCAAAAGACAAAATCAAAATAGAACAACTTCTTAAGAGTGAAAGTTTGGAACCATCAAGAAGTAAATATGCAAATCAAGGGAAAAAGGGAAAGGGATCAAGCATATGGAACCAACACAATGTTCAAGGACATGAAATTATCTAACTTCACGAAACAAGTATACGTATGAATAACCAAAGTAAAGTTAAGCTAACTTCACAAAATATGCCCATAATCATGAACAAAGTGAGTTCTTTTTATACAATGTGGCATCAACGTCCAAGTCTCCTGAAGTACACAAGTAATCCCAAAATGGAGGCAAACACACCAAACCAAAATATAAAATGACCTTTTTGAGAATTCATGAAATGCTAAAATGTGAGAGCTTGAAAGTATTGCACATTTATTCAAAAGATCAAAAGTATTGCATATACCCTATCATTGATTGATTTATATGTTTAATTGTCTTCTTTATATTCACAAATGACAATAATCAAAAGACAAAGTTTAGTGAAGATTTGTTATGTCAAACTTGTTGATGATTAGGGATGCAAATGAAGTAGAAACCCCCTAAAATCTCACTCCAATTCAGTCCAAAGTTGATGATTCAAGAACCTAGAACCCTAGCCCTTACGTGAACTTTAATTCAACTTTCAAGTGATATTTAAAGAACTTCGAACCATGAAAGGTCCTCTAGAGGATTTGGGAGCATTTTGGTGAAATTAGATGGAATATTTGATAGTAAACAAAATTTGGTGGGAAGTTCTGTTTTATATATGAGTGTGTGCATGAGATTGAAGAAGGAGGAAAAATTGACGAATATGCAAACATATTGCTATTAAAAATCGACATTTCACCAGAATCCAACCACCAAATTACTGGCCGGATTCTGGCCAAAACCTTCTTTAAAAAAAAAAAAAAAACTTTGCTTCCCCTGTCAATCCGAGTGGCGACGTAGGTGGTAGCAGGTTGAGGTGGGGGTGGAAAAAGAAGAAAGGAAAGAAGGGAAATTTCTGTTGTTTGTATCAACTACTAACTTAATTCGATCAAAAAAATATTTCAATCTCAATAAAATATTTTTAAACACCAACCCCATAAAAAGGAGGTTTTATTTATATCAAACTACTTACTTATAAGAATTTGAATCAAATTTTCTCAAATTTTTTGCCAAATTTCTACATATGACTAAAACATATTGAATACAAGAAGGAAATAAACTAAATAAATATATGAAATTACTAAATAAAATAAGATAATTAATGAAGATGAATAGGAAACCTTATTTATAACGGACAATGGACGCCGAAAACCATCACTCTTATCATATTCAAACACTAACCTTCAATTGAATATTTTTTTGTCTTCTATTCATTGAAATGAAAAATTCAAACTTGCATAAATAAAGAATCATGTCTCTGAACTCATTTAAAGCTTCCAAATTTTGATGCCCTGTAATGTTTATTCTTTCTGATTATGAAAAAAGAATAGGATACCCCGTGCAAGTTAAAAAGGCGCATGCTATTTTCCCTACCTTACCCGATTTCTGCGTGATGCCATCTCAAATTTAGTTATTTTAAACCTTTTTTCACAGTTTGTGGTTATAGGAAAGAATTATGCATATGTATTTTTATTAAAAATGTCATATAAAATTTAGTTAAAATTTTAAATCATTAAAGTGATGTTAAGTTCATATATCACTAATGTCAACTTCACAATACACTTAATCTAAAATGACATATCATTTTTTAATTCCATATCAATTACCTCATATTGCTTTCTCCAAGTAATCTTATTTGCATAGCTATCTGGATCGTAT